AGGGAAAGAACAAGGGAGGAATGAATAATATGTGGTAAAGACAGAACGTAATTAAAGATAACCTATAGCATGAAAACTAAATGAATAGTTCACCTCAGTCATTGGCAACTAGGTAATAAATATCTCTGAGTTCTGAAGTACACGGAGTATAAAAACCACAAATCCAATAGAAACTACCTACGTTTAAGTAGGGGGAAGAAAATTTTATCGCCCTTTGCTGGGGCAGTTGATTTTATGGACAATGGATTTTTCTGTATTTCACATCCCGCTGGAAGGTATTACATAGGAGTTTTTACTATTTCAAGAAGGACAATGAATTTGGAGGAGGAGAATAAACTGGTAAAAGGAATAGCCTTGCATTTTTATAGGTAGAAAAATTTAACAAAGCTATGTCACATACTGTATTCTCAGTGGACACAAACTCTTGCTGCCAGAGATTCAAGACGACCTGTGATCCTCTGAGCAGCACCAACAGCACTTACCTAATAAATCCTGTTAAGATATCTATTAACCCTAGTGGCTCACATTTGCATAGCTCTCAGTTAACTTCAATTTTATATATATCAAGCTTGTCCTGCACAGAACACTACTCTATCTGCCTAGAATATTCTGTCATGAAAACATAGTTATTTTCACATATTGAGGAATAAAAAGAAACTTAACAATGGAGTTGGTTCATTAGTGAATAAAACAGGAAAACTATCAATGCAGAAAGAAGAAATATATATTTTCTGTTTGTGTGAGGAACAAAATAAGATGTTGTATTAAGCTCATCTGAAGAAATACTCTCCATTCTAATACTGGAGAGCGTTAAAAGCTGACCACTAAAGCTATGCTTTTTAAAATGAGATGATACAAAGATTTTGTATCTAGAGGTTTTTTAAAAGTAGGTAAAGGACCTTAGTGGAGCACTAATACTGATTTTATTTATCATTATTCTTTTTTCATTAGATCTTGGACCACTGACGAATCGGAGACTGAAAGATTGAAAGAAAGCAGGTGCTGTGCCATTACTGCTAAAGGCTAAATGAGACAACCTGGATAATTAAAAGCCTGTATGCCTGGCATCAATCCTAGTAAAATAATGGAATAATTCCTACAAGACTCAATTAATGAAGAATTAAAGAAGGAATGTAGAATTAATGCCACTCAACATGGTTTTTTGTTTTTTTTTTTTTGGAAAGCAGGACTTGCCAAGCTAGCATGATATCTTTGAGAAGATCACAGGAACCAGGTGCTGTTCTGTACTGCCTACTTCTACAGAATAGTCTGGATGACAATGAAGTTTCCAGAAAAATCAACTTGTCTTAAGAAATGAGATTATACATCAGCACGACATGAAACACCTGCTCGCCAGCTTTACTGGGCGTGTAGTGTTTAATTGTGGTTTGTTTTTTCCAAGAACTGTTTCCCTTTCTTTCATTCATGGCATGCAAATGACAAGCTACTATTAAACACAATTATTCAAACTTAATAGCAAAGGAAAGCTGCTTGAAGAAATGTTCCTAAATCTCATTTATAGGAAAGAATTCTTACTGCCCTGCTGGTTGAAAAAGGCTGAGTTTGAGACTCGTTTCCTACACATTAAGATGATCTCCTTTCTAAACCATTATCATAAGAAGTAACGCTGCTTTGCAAAGTCCATGACGCAAATTCTTGCAACTTGTACAAGTTTGTGACGTTTCTCAGCTGACATCCTTGTGACGTTTCTCAGCTGACATCCTTTCAACAGTCCCAGAAGACCTAATTTAATTTCTAATCATTTCACCATGCTTAACACATTTTTTCTAAATTACTTTTGCATTTGCACTCAGAGGGAGCATTGACTGATTTTTTGCTTATAAAGTTCTCATCTTCCACCTCCATTGGTTCCTATGCAAAAAGGAAAGAACTCTTAACTCCATAGAGGAATTCAGTGATGAGCTGCTTCCAGTTCATATCATATTTCCACAATAATATGGCATTCACTGTGGATTTCATATACTTCATATTCCTATCTCCAACCTCTATCACATTACTCAGAGAAGTACTGTCCCTTATTCATGCCTTCTGGATGCAGCACCAAATGCCAGATGACTCACAAAACGAGTATGTGAATGAACAGGTATTACAGTAAATGCACCCATTTTGTGTTTATCTAATTATACTTTCTTCTATTTTGGAGTGGAAAAACATGGTAGATTTTAAAACTTTAGTTAGTGTTAACAATATTATTCACAACGTACAATATACATACAGAAAAACAGCCTGAAAGACAATAAATTGCAATAGGCATAAACGAGAGTAAAGCCTCTGCTGTTTTGACACAACAGAGTCACATGGTATAAATTTTTATAGTCTCCTGTCACAAAGTCTGTAAGATGTTTCAGTTGATATTCTTCTAACACCTCCAGCTGTGGTAATCCTTTTGCTATGCTTGCAAAAATTTTGTCTAAATTTTCATTTTCCTTAGAATGATCAAAGAATTACTTATTTGCTTGAAAATAATCTTGTCATATGCTAAAACAATCTTGTCATATACCGAATTTACTTACTATAGTATTTCTTGAAAGTAGCTTTAAGGATTTGTGACAACTAGATTTGATTACCTTCTTTTTTCAAAACCATTTATTTATCTATAGAAGACACAAAACTCCTTTTGTATTTCAGAACTTCACTTACTTCCTCTCCCCAGTATTTCCTCCAGATTTGGACACAAATGCCCAGCTCAGATTTAATGTACAGCTGCAATCACAGACTCAAGAAAGGTGTTTGTGATGACTTACATTATCTAGCTTACATCTTTCTGAAGAAGTGACAACAAGGTTTTACTGAAGGATCTTCAAAATAGTTCACCTGCGGCTGGCTCTTCAGCAGCTCATGTTCCATACTTTCCGACCGAATTCTTATTCATCTTCCACAATGTGTTCAACAAACAAGATCACACGAGAACTCCAACTCATCATTCTTTTTTTTTTTTTCTATCTAGTATTTGATAGCTGCACTGCTCCCGGATTTGCAGCTTTCACCTTCAGGATGAGACTTCTCCACACCTTTAACACCTGCTTTGTTTCTAAGCCTTTTAAAGAACTACGCAACTATTACCTCTCTATGCTAGAGCCTAAATCCATTCTCTCCAAATATTGCACTTGTTTTTGTCCCTTCATCTATCTCAAAAGGCAAGTGGAAGTATAACATTTTCACATAGTGTTCAGTTATCTAGAATAGTATCTCTAATGTCTCATGCACTCGTTCTTTCATAAAGTTTTCATATCATAAAAGCTACCTTTTTGGCTCTTCTTTTGCTCATCCCCTTAAATTCCATTCCAGTTTACCACAACTTCCTTTGTAACCAAGGAAATCAAAACAATTATTGAGTCTTTTAACTATCTCCAGTTTCTTACTGCTCTGGAGCTATTACCTTGTCCCTTGCCTTCTATTCCAGTCTATTCTGTCTATACAGCGCATATACCAAAAAAAAAAAAAAAGCTGTCAAGTTTATAATGACATACATGAAATCATAATGTTCATGAATGAATGATATTACGCATAAATTACAATGTGTTGTCTGTGCAGCCCCAGGAAGATCTTAATCGATACCTCAGAAATCCCAATCAACAGTTAATTTAAAACTGGACACCTTTTTGGAGAACATTAATTATATTCTTGGAGCTCATTTATAATGAGCTTTTAATTACAGAGGATGTCCTCATATCTTAATTCTTAAAAGCAGAGAAAATATGAGACGCTAGATAATTCTTAAAATAACATGCTTCAATTTACATATTTTTTCTTTTATCGTACCAGCACTGTAAAGACTGCTTGCTTTACTTCAGTTTTACTTTACTTACTTATGGCAGTACAAATGTACGATAAAGGAGAATTCTGTTTCCTTTGTCACCGTTAATGACAGCAAAGGCTATCATTCCACTCATGCATGCCTCCTCTAAAACTCAGTAAAAGCTCTACAGAGAGAATGTTATTGCCTTGAACAACCCTTTAATACAGTCCGTGACTCTCAGTTTGGGAGATCATTGACTAGTTTTCCTTCCATTGTTTAATTGTTTAATCAGCCACTCTCCCGTACTGTAAGAAAATAAACTGCAGCATAGTGCTTTACACAACGTCTGCACGCACTTGTCTGTAAGGGCTTTAGCATTACTTCACAGCACAGTCCCTCACGACAAAGGCTGTTTGCTTGGAGAGCATCCAGTAAAATCTGATCAATAAACCCACCTTTACTTTTTTACTCAGCAGCTCAGCTTTATTTAATTCTCCAACGTCTAGTGATGCACAAAAGCATTGCTGTACAATACATTACAAGCTAGGCTGTCATTTTGCTCATCCAGATACATTGCATTTCTCATAGTGAGAACTCAAGTCAGAACTTGATCCGATTACCTGGTTTGCCTTCATTTGGTTTACACTGAACTTCTTCAACACAGTCTGCAGGAAACCATCCAATATGGCCTCGGGTACTGCCTTCCCAGAATCCACCTTCACCAATGCTTAAAACTAAGCACAGAAAGACAGAGGCAGCATTAGCGGTTTTTCCCTTCCCGTGTAAATACCAAGATTATTTACACAATAGGTCGAATAGCATGTTGGTGAAAGCAAAACAGTACAATAATTCAAACTCTTAGTTCCCCAAATGTGGGCACACAATAACCTGTAAATGTGACTCTTCCTGATCAGTCTTTGGATCCTTTTCTGAAATTCATTTTGCTCAGAAGTTTCCTTGGCCCTTACATAATTCTTTCTATCTTCAGTGTTCTCATTCAAGCTTTTATCAAGGATAAATGCATGGTCATATCAAGACCAAAAATTTGTCTTGCCTGTTCAATCCAAGTTGAAGTGCTGAACCCACATAAAACTGAACCCACACTGAAACTGCTTTCATATACACACACACACACACACATATATTTTATTAATACCTTGAATGTTTTGTACTTCCTAAGGAAATATGCTACTTTATTTAATGGCTAGCTCCAGAGATTTGAAATGTAGGTCAAGTAATATGAATTTAATGGTTTTGAGCATACAGTAAACACTTGAATATCCCATAGGTCCGTTACACAATGTAGATACCTTCTGAAATATTTCAGGGATTTTCAAGGTAGAAGATAATGACAATGGGGCAAGATTTACCAACAGGAGAAAAAGTTTTATATTGCAGTTCTGATTATCTTGATATTAATCTCACGACTTAGCTAGCATTGTGAAAAAAGGGTGAAGCATAACAATGTATGATTTTACTATTAAGCAACTGAAGATGAATTACCATAATGAAAGGTTCCTAAACATTTTCTCAGTATTCTTTTTAAATAAGTTTTATAGAAGTTCCTACAAATCACAGTATGTTCAATATATATTAAAAGCACATAAATGTACTACTATATACATGCGATATATATGTAGTATTAAAATAAACGCGACATTATACATTTTAAAAAAGATAAGTCTTCGCTTCTAAATAGGTTGACTGGGAATGTAGTTCAGTCATACACAGGTCCTCAAAGCACATCTGTATAAAACATAACGTTCGGTGTAGAGGTCCCTGAGCTACCAAAAACAAGCCAGCGGACGCTGGAGCAGCCCAGCCCCATCAGCTGTGCGCTAGCTGAGCCAGCCAAGCTAACTGGCCCTGCTGAAAATCAAGGCTAATTAGGCCAGGCACATCTCTTTGCTAACGTATGCATCTGGTTTTCAAGACCTGGGATAATATCTCTGCAGGGTATTGCAATATGCAGGCAGAATCACTTGCTCGGAGCTACCTTGATGATCTCCAAAGCAAGCACTCTTTGCACTGTTAAAACAGACCTTACCAGGCTTTAAAATCACAGTCCCTGGGCCTGCCTGCAATTGAATTCTGTAGCTGGGGCACAGCTGTGACTCAGTGGCTTTGAATTTGAACTCTATTTGCGCTATGGTAGAAAAAGATGAAAATCAAATCTGCGATAGCTCAAAGAATACCCTGCTAATACAAAAGGAGTCGAAAGAAGTCTGGTTCGGCCCACTAGGACCTGTAAACCTGCATTTGAAATTAAATGTTTGCCTTCTTTGTCAATAATGCAACCCTAAGCTATTACTTGCTAAGCTTGTGATATTATTGCCATTACTCGTGATATTACTTACCATTACATACTAATGGATGTCTAGTAACATAAATGTTTAACAGAAAAATGTTTTTAAATGTGACAATTTAAAGTCCTTTACTATAGCAAATTTAGATGTGCAGATTCTATGAACTGCGTACTTACAAGTCACTTTCAGTAAGAAGCACACGTTAAGCCTTGGCCCACAAGACAAACCCATTAAGGCAAAATCCTACATCAGGATGGGTCTCACAACACACAATTTATCAAGGACCTTTCCGACTTTATATATACGAGCAAACCCATCCCTGCCTAGGTGGTCATGGGGTAACGGTGGAGGGCACTGAACTTGGAAGACACCAACTCCACCGTGGCAGTTAAGCTGAATAAAAAATTTTTAGCATGTCTTTTCTTTTAGTCACCCAATACCTAGTCATACTGTTTACCTAAACAGATGCTACTGCAACTCCACATTTAAATGAGAGCAAAAATGAAGAAACTAGATCTGTGCTCTAATTATATTAAAAAAAAAACATGTAAATCCAAGTGTTAATAAATATCAATTTGGGGCATAATCAATGAAAAATATGTTGAAAAATTCCAGTTCTTCTTCTCAATATTTAAAGCTTGTGTACATTCACTCACAAAGTCAATCTGATTACTCTGTGCTACATAAAAGAGAAGGTAATCACCAGCACCCAACATATTCTCAAGAATGTACCCTCAATTCACATAACAATAGAGTGCGTTTCATTATATACCAGTTAAGTAAGTAGTAAAGCTTAGCTAATAACATATCTACATATTATAACTGTTGCACAATCCTATTGTACATTGACTTAACTTAAAATAATAAAAGCAAGTCTGGGATTCCATTCAGCTGAAAGCAATTGTGAAATGTGAGACAGGGAACGACTCCTGTTGCAAGTAATTAGTTTTGCTGAGGAGAGTTTTGAGCACTGAATTTCAGCTCTGATTTCGCTCCTCAAACTGACAAGATAGGGAGAATATAGACGACTAAGCAATTGAGAAAGACTCCCCTAACTTAGTATTATACTAATCTGCCAGACCTGCTATTTTGATGCTCTGAATTACATAGGTATTACCATGTCTAAAAAGCATCTGCACCGTAAGAAGGTAGTTGAGCACTTCACACCCACAGAATAATTTGATGTGTTTATGGTAGCAGCAGCTGATAAAACATCCAAATCAAGATGGGAAATGTGCTTTGTAAGCATATATGTGAGTTCAAGGTGAAAAGTGATTACTTCACAGTAAGAACAGTTCCACTTTACATCATTTTTACATGAATTATTAAAGTGTTACCAATTACTAATAGCAGAAGCAACACAGAATTACACTTAGACCTGCCTGAAGACATTATGTCTGTAGAAAAGAGGTAGGAGGGGAGCCTTCCCAATTCTGGTTCAAGCCTGTCTACACATTACACACAAAAATAAAATAACGAGACTTGTGGACTCACTATCATGGAAATTATGGGCATTATGGGTTCCAAGAAAGGTGGGAAAAAGCAGAGGGAACTGCAAGAGGCACAGAGATGACAGAGGAGGCAAATGGGGGAAGGCCAGGAATAAAGTTATGTACAGAGACAGAGATTAGTTGTTGATGAGATGGAGAATAAGCACATACGGCATAATACAGTAGAACGTAAAGGTTGAGATGAAGATGTAGGTTCTGAACTAGTAAGAAATTTCATAAAATCTTTTTCATGTTTCTCAGGTGGTGTCATTAATAAGAAATTCTGTAGCAGCAGCCAAAACCATAATAATCTACGTATCAATAAAAACTGGGCACGTTTCGTGTATTCCAATGTGGGTAACTGGGAGCTTACAAGATAAATCAAAAATATAATTTATCTTTCCTACCCATGGATGCTTTTCAGAATGAGGTCTTAATTTCTGTCTTTTCCCTCTCACAACAGTGCTTAAGAGACATGCTGTAATGGATAATTTGGTATCAGCAAGAGATTTTCTCATCAACATTTTCCCTTCTGAAGGGCATAACAATGGCAAATCAAAGGATAACTTTCCCAAAATTAATAATTAAGCTTTATCATTTGAAGTATTTTTTTTCTTTTTGCTTTTAATAAAAAGAAAAGATGTGGTTGCTATGGCAAGAGCAGGCCAGGGTCTCTTTACACACAGCATGAATTACAATAAAGACTCTGACGTTGTAAGAGCAAAAATCAGGCTTCAGGATGTTATTAGAGCCTTATATGTCTTTTCACAACATAAGTATAGCTTAAAACAGGAATTATGTTTAATTATACAAACAAAACTGCAAATCAAAATTGGACAATTATCAAACAATTGAATAACATAGAAATATGTATAAGCACATGCCTAGCGGGATTTTATTTTTTAATGTCTCGAAAGTATTATATTTAATACAAGCCAGATTCTGCTTTATCAGAAGTCCAAAAAAAAAAAAAGTTTTGTCTCTTGCAACTTCTACAGGTTTTTTTCCTGCAATGTATATAAACAATTTAACATACTCATCTCAAACAGCTTAATTACTCAATATACTTTCAAAAAATCATTTTAATCCAAACAAAAAAAAATTAGTTTTATTCATCCCCATTACAACGCCCTTCATTATGCAATAATCAAGAAACAGAGTATAAGAATATATCTCCATCAGCTGATGATGCATACTATTTCTAAATTTCTTGCAATGGTTTAGCATTATAAGCTGAAATTTCAATTAGTGAATTTTTCCAGGTGTCTTTATTTTCAAAAATTTCAGTGAAAATCGAATACAGGCCATTGTTTTTATAGTTGTTAAAGGACATCATCTGAAACTTCTTTGTGTAAACTGCACTCTCAGTCCTTCCCTGAGAAAGGAGAAAAGTAGTAGTGATATGAATTGGGAAAGATATCATCTTCTGAAAAAAGAACACTCCTATAAACTCGAGGGAAAAAAAGAACATAATAATAATAAAACTGAAAATATGTTGAAAAATCTAGCAACTGAACTTAGCCTACCCTGATGCAAGAACTATCCAAGCTAAAGCAAAAGTTTTAGCTGCTAATCAAGAGAAGCTCAAGATTTCAATACTTCTAGTGAGAGCTGGAGTTGTGTAAACAGAAAGACCTCTAAAGCACACAACAGAAAGCAGAAAATTTAAGAATTTCATTCTTAAGCTGAAAGGGAGAGTTATAAAGTATCCCTTCCATCAGAACCGCAATCGGAATGCATTAGTGAACTTGATTCACTGTTCTGTTATTCATAACAAATGTCATCTCCCTAATGAAATATAAAGAGTTTTCATTTGCATTTTAGCTATCAGGGTTCAGTGCAAATACAAACTAGTTTTGTCTCTTGATATAAAAACCTATCTTCTGGATTTCCTTTTTCTAGTATATTAAATCGTATCTTAAAGTTTCCAATGGACAG